AACCAGTGGATTAAATAAATGGGGTTGGAGCATGCCTTTCTTGCTGTTAGCTTTAGCTTATTGATTCAGACATATTTCCACACAGAGAATAATCAATTCATCAGCGGATGGACAGAATAAAATAATTTCAGGCAAACTCTTCAAATGACTTGTCATTAATTTGCCTTTTTCCAGTACTTGTTCACTCCAAACAAGATGTGTTTAGCTCCCTCCAAGTATTAACTGAGTTGTGCTCTTGGGATTTTCTGGGACTGATTGGCCAGGAAGGAGGGGGGATGGAGGGGACTGGGGAGGGCTAATGAATGCACTATGTTTGCTCATCTTTACAGAGTCACTTATTACCACTAATTGGGAGGGACAGTTCAAACAAGCACAGAGAAGCAGTTGTCACATAAGCGTGACATGGTTTTAAAGAGGCAGTCAGGGGCGACTGCACTGACTGGTCCTGGCCCCTGAACTCCTGCTGTATCCTGGCTGGAAGCCTAGCACATATCCTACTCAGAGTGGAGCCTTTGTCAGGAAGCCCTATTAGAAGTCAGCGGTCTTAAGAAATCTGGGCAAGACAAGTCATTTCAGGGAGCTATAGACAGACATGCAGCTGTCTGGGACACTTAGAAAGTCAACAGCTGACGGAAGGGGTGGACTGCTGGCTTGGCTGTAAATGGGTTTAAAGATGTGATCAGAATTAATTTGTGCTGCATAGTTTGTAGCTGTTTTCTTAAAAGAGTTCCTTTGACTTAGGATACTTGGTGGCACGAGGAACCAAATATGAATATTAGGACACATTTTGCATGTGGTTTGACAATGGTGTGGTGACACCTTTTGATTATTTCCTATGCTTCCCGCTTTGCTGAATGCAGAAATGTTAATTTCTCTCTCTGTCTGTTTTACGGGGACAACATCTCCTTCCACACACACATATATTTCATGCTTCCAAGTTATTTTTACTTTAAAGTGTTCCTTTCTCAGTAAATAGTCTCTGTCATTCAGTGTTGCTTTCCCTAATTAAAACCATTTGGATTATCCTGAAATGTTTTTTTTAGCCCCATATGAAATTGACTTCAGTTCCAGGATCAGTATGTTATGCTGGTTGTTGGATGGATTTTTAATTGTGGAAAGTAATCTGAAAAAGATATACTGGGGAATAACAACACAGGATTGTCTATCTGCTACATTTGTGTTCAAGACAAGTTGTTAACTGGGAAAATATAGTAGATGTGATTATAAGGCTCTTGTGATGTCATATGTGCATGTGAACGTATGTAAGGGAAGAAGCCTTGTGAAAGAGTAAGGTATTATATTAGGCTATAACTATGCAAGCACTATGAAGGGGCTATTCATAAAGCAATAAATAGGCAGGCTAGAATGAAAAGGCTAAGTTCTCCTTCTCCTGGCCATCCAGTCCTGCGTGCTCATTTTCCACCATTCTGCATCATTCTGACAATACAAATTATTATTAGCTGCATTGTGATAGGTGTTGTACAGTCATGCAGTTTAAAGCCCATTTCTACTGAGAGGTGTGGTGTAAAAGGAATTCAGGGTAGATGAGAATTGGACCCTAACGCCCAGATCCATTAACTACCCGAGGCCAGATTCTGTTCTATCTATTAGATCTCTGAGAGGTCTTCAGTGCCTAAATATGATTCTTTCTCACTCTGCTTCGATCCCTGAAAATCTAGGAATACAAAAGGTGGGTGGGTGGCTCCTCCTCCTCCTCACTGCTTTTTTGTGATTCAGTCTTAAGGCTAAGTAGATGAGGCATTATAAACGTACACACACTAATGCAGTGGTTTTCAAGCTGTGTTCTACAGCACCCTGGGGTTCCACACTAGATCATCAGGGGTTCCACAAAAATATTGGGGGTCGTAGTACAGCAGGCCGGGAGTGGCAATTTCCAGGTCGGGTCACCTTACTGCATCAGTTTAAACAACCCACAGAGCCAGGGATAGGGGCTCTGCAGCAGAGGCAATATAAAAGGGTTCTGTGACTTTTAGGAAGCTTGAAAATCCTTAGGCAGGGGCTCAAGCAATAGGTGAAGTCAGATCTGGCCCCTACTGCCTATCGATTTCTATGGGAATTAGACTCCCACATATCCTTACGGATCCATGACCTAAGTGTTTGCAGGATCAGGCCAAAATAAACGGCAAAGCTGGGCCCATGCGTAGTAAGACTGTGTTTACCCATATCTGTTTCTGGAGACATAAGTATAAGGCCTGACTACAGTGCGTGTTGCTGGTTTTCTGCACCATCCTGGATCAGGCCCTAGCTGTGTCAAGCAGAAGGCAGGGTAGGGGATCACATTGTAGACTACTTAAATCAGCGATGCATAATCTTTCATGAGAGCTGTGGCCTGCCTGATTTATTTAAGGATAGTCTGAATCTTGCTCAATGATTAGTCTTCTTGTCCTCCATTGACAGTTCTCCCAGGCCCTATGGAGAGGTCTTTGCTGGACTTGGGGATGAAAGGGACTGGGTTAAGGGACAAATATTTCACAAACACCCCCCTCCAAATAACACCTACCTACAGCAGAGACTACTCAGTGAAGGTAATTTAGCCTTGGGCTTTTCTGCACAATGAAAAGGAGTCCCTGGAACACAGTAACCAGGAATACTCCATGATAGTTTGACTTCACTGGATCCCCTTTACCAGGCAGGGGGAAAAAGGAAGGGCATCTTGGACACAGTGTTGACCTGTAGACCATAGACAGTCATTGCTTCCTTCAGGGTCTCCATTGCTATGGGGAGGTCTGCAGCTTCATCCAAGGGCTGTCCTATGGGAAAGTAAACCCCACTCCCCAACCAAACAATGTTTTGGATCCACACGCATTTCCCACCCCCACCCCACTTTTCAGTCCATGCGATTGCTTTTGCCAGTGGGGAGTACTGCCCTATTCCATGAGTACTTGTTTATTACATGACTATTGAAACAGTATTTCTGATTAGATTTTAGTCAGTGGTTCCAGGTTAGTATTTTAGTTTACTAAAAAAATCCTCAGAAAGAAAAACAACATGAAAATGACAGGTTGTATTTTCCTTTAAACAGTTATCCCTGTTTCCCTTTACAAAGATCGTAACATTTTCTGTTCCTAAGGCAGGAAGGCGGAGATTATATGCATCTGGAGTCTGATTTAAACTATATTCTAAAGCTGCATTGTATACACATTGTTTCCTTAGGTTTATCCTCTTCAGTAACAATCTTAATCTTAGAAGTTAGCATAAACCGTTAAAGCACCAGCAAAAATTCTTTGTGTGTGGTTTGAATTTTAAACGATGGCAAGAGAAGCATTAAAGCCAAAATGGGAATTCAAACAATTATATAATCGGAGGCGTTAATACGAAATTAGAACATTTTTCTGAGGAGTGAGAAGAGAAAATGAATTTGTTTTTGAAGTCTCTTCTGTTTTAGATTTCCTGTGTTATAATATAATGAATTTGTTGTGCATTGATATCTTAATATATAGGGTTTAAAAAAAATCAGGGAAAACAATGCCCCCTTCACTTTTGCATGAATGAATTCATTTATTTTTCTTAACATCCGGAAGTCATTTATTTTGCCTTGAGACATCTGCAGGGTCTGTTTACGTATGATGGTTTCAGGGTACTTGGCAGGAATGGATGGACCATGGGTCTTAATTGTTCATGGTAAAGTCTGGCATTGCGGTGGACTGTGCATAAATACGGGTATAACAAGTATATGCTGATTGATTGAGAGATTATTGAACTTGTAAGAAACACATTTTAAATACTGCCTACACAAGAAATGTCTTTTGAAGATCTAAAGCAAATTTGCCACACTCTTTTCTGGGCCTTTATTTCCAGGCAGCCAAGCATATTTCTTTCTTTCTTTCTCCCTCCACTATTTTTTTAACAATTTATTTTAATTGTTCTTTTCATATCATGAATCACAGAGGGGTTCGAGCAAATAGCCACTGCAATTAATTGAATGTTTTCAGGGATGTTACATTGTTACCATCCTAATTTAGCATTAGTTAATGGATGTATGAATTGTAACTTAGACATTGCCTCTTTATTAAGGAAGGGATGAAATTACCACCTGCTGGGGGTGAAAACTGGGCCTATTAGAGCTGATGGCAAAGGTCCTATAGACTTGATTGGGGCCAGGGTTTTACCCTCAGAGTCCACATTTTACCATGGAAAATTCTCAAGGTGGAAAAACTGCTTTTAAAACCTGATTTTTTTTTTCTTTATTTTTGCCCATCACCTTTGTGTTTTCTGTGCTAGCCTCCACAGACTTGTTCTGCTGCCAGTTTCTCAATTTTTCCTCAGTAACTAGATTTTTTTATGTATCATAGGAAGGAATACTTTTTCCAATGTTGTTCGCGGTGGGTTTTGTTTTATGTTTTTCTGTATTTCTTGCAACTGCCTGTTTTGAAGCTGTTGTGCCTTCAAAAAAGTGCTAGCCTTCTGATTGAAACATGTAACCTGAGGAGAAAAATCTTATACATTAGATTTGTTGTCTTTAAAATTTAGGCCCATAATCCGCTAAAAGCTTCAATCTAGGCCTATTTTTATGTGAATACCTACAGCCCACCCTGATCAGCAACACCCTTCAGCACACGCTTAAGTCCTGTTAAGTCAATGGTGAAGTAAAGCGTGTGCTTGCCTGAATTGGAACCTTTGTCATCTCTAACAAAAAAGATCGCAAACCACCCAGGCTCTAACAAAGAAATGCTTTTCCAACACTATTCCCTTCCCCTAAGAGTCCCCCAAAATAAAGGACTGGTTTGAGGTATTGGTTTGCATAATATCAAAAAAAAAAAAAAAAAAAAAAAGGAAAGAGAGAAAGAAAAGAAAAAAAAGAGTAAATGTGTATCTTGCATTTTTCTCTTTCTGTGATGCATCTTGGACCATGCAACTAGAATGGTAAGTACTACCAAAAGATGACACCTGGCCTTGGAGCTTTGTTGGGATGCTGTGTTTCGGTGTCAACACAAAGGTGTTCCCTGCTGTGAATAAGCCTTCTGTTCTGTTCTTTTTAGGATCTAACCTTGTGCCCATTTCCCTGATAGTCAGTCCTAAGAACCGTCTGGAGCCTGAAGCACTTTTTATTTCAGCAATCTTCAGCTCTACTTTCTGCAAGTTGATCCAGGTGGGCAAGCCTTGGCATCTGCACAGTGTTCCAGGTTTCAGGCCTTGGGAGGGGTGTGGGGGGCTTGAATCCTAAATTCAACCCATTAAAACCTATTGCCTCACTCCGCAGTGTTTCATCACTGCTGGAAAGCCACAGATGTAGTAGAACAATTAGCAACAGAGGTGGAAAAGACCCATTAGTCCTTAATATCCATCCCTTTTGTACAACATGGGACTGAATCCTACAGGTGTTAAGCACTTGCAGGTCCCATTCTCTCAAAAAGGCACTTAGTCCCATCCTGGAGGAACTTGGCACCTTGAAGGACTGAGCCTAGAATCCCTTATTCCCTCTGCAGATGTCTGCAACACCCTGTCTCACCTGCCAGGCAAGAAGCAGCTTCTGTAGATGGAAGCTACCCAGGGAAAGATGATGCAGTGTTTCTTATCCAGAACCGGAGTCTCATCTCATCAATCACGAGAACGTGAAGAAGCCCCAGTGACCTGTGTCAGAGCAAGGTGCTGTTCACCAGGAGAAAGGGAGGGCAGAGCCTAGCCATGAATTAAACTTGCTTCTGCTTTTCCCATTTATGGATTCTTTGTCACTTCTATTTTCTTTCACAGTCTCCCCCCACCCCTCACAGTCCCTCTGATGGCACTCAGTGTGGAGCTTTGGCAAGTAGCTTCTCTTGCCTGTTTCCCTCCCAACTCCTGCCCTGTGCTCTGAGAATGGTCACAGAGTGATACAGCCTGTTTTTTACCGCCCCTTGAGATCAAGGGCTCTGTGTGTCTACTCTATCCAGCAGGAGCATATTTTAAAATACTCTAGTGGCTTTAGCCGGTGGTGATGTTGAGTTCCCTTTGGCAGAGTTCACTTTTGTTTCTGATGACGGTGTAGTACTGTGTTTAATTTTGACATATGCATAAAGCGCCTTGTATAAGGCAGAGTTTATTCCTGCATCTCTGAATAAGGGATCTCTGGATTAGATTGTTGCTTTTATCATCCTTCAGTACCAAGTTGTAAATCCAACAGCACTTACTAGGTGTGCTAATCAGGAACAATGTGCTTCTTAATATAACTTCTCCATGAAAGGGTTTTGGAAATAATATATAAAATTAATGGTTTACAAGACTAGTTTTAAACACTTGAAGGGAAAAAAAAAACCCCCAGCTAACCCAGAGACCTTCCCTAAACCATGAATAAATTTGCTCTCTACCTAAAACTGAAGTCTAAAATTGGTTTTGATTTTTATTTAAAATTCAAATGTCTGATGTTCTTAAATTGAACAAATGATATATTTAAAAAAAATACATATATCAGGCGACAACATCTGCAGATTATGATTTGCATTTTGAAATTGGCTGCTTGAATTGAACAAGGATGAATACTGTCAGTCTTCTTTTATTCACTCAGTTTATTTAATGAAATGCTAGAGGTCAACCCTTTGTCCTTAAATTAGTTACTATAAAAATCTTTCTGTACTTTTCTGCTTGTTATGATGTCTTCTAAGCAGAAGAAAAGGTTGCCATTAATTATGTCTTTGTTGAATATGGATATCTATTCATAGTTAGTTAAAGTGTTTCAAACAAAATTAGCATTGAGCAACTCTCAGGCCAGCTTTAGGTTGGTTATCAAGAATTTTTTGCTAAGAGAATGCTCTTCTGCTAGTGTGCATTATCTAATATATTCAGCTTTCAGTTGCTAATTTTTTTTCTAGATGAAGATGGGCTTAATTGAGGTTGTGCTTTTAAGTTTGTAGAGCTCTTCAGCATCTCATACAAAAGCATCTAGAGGCTTTTCATTTGTCTTGAGTATGTTTTAGATGTACAAATATTATTTACTTTAAACTCTAAATCAAAAGCCACACTGTAACTATTTTAAATAAAACATTCTCTGCTGAAATATATATAAATTCAAAGCAGGAATTTTTTTCATTATCACCTAATAATTTATTTGAAAGAGCTGCTATTAACAAATTTTAGGATAATATTGAAATGGCAGTTGGCAACTAGTCTCAAATAGGCATTTATTAATGTAATTTGCTGTCAGCACTTCGAAGATAGAGGAGATATATTAAAATTAAGATATAGCTACAGTTTCATGTCTAACTCTCAGCTAAGTGTCATTTTGAATTGGACTTTAAAGATTAATCTGCCTTAGTTTTTAGAGAGATCTAAATATAATGATAAAGTCTAATTCTTCAATAAAAACGATATATTCTGTATTCATTTTTAGTGATTTTTTTTTTTTTTAATTCCAGCCAATAGTGCTTTTTTCATCATTTACCAGAAAATTCAAGCTCAGTAATAAGTTAAAAAAAAACTGGCTAGTGGAGAACTAAGATCAGTTTTTTGGACAGTAAGAAGAACACCAATATTTAACCTTTTTTTCTTTTCTTTTTTTTTTTTTAACAAATGTCTGAGGTACTGCTCATTAATGGTTAGCTGTTTTGCCTTAAAATCACACAATGAAGTGTTTCATATATAAGGAAAAGAAGAAATCTACTGACAAATTGCAAGATAATTAGCAAAAATAAGAAAATATAAATATGATACCAGAGGATTAGTCCTAGTGATTGTAAATGCAAATGAAGCATAATGTTCAGTTAACGATATAAAATGCATTTTTCAGAAAGCATTTTTCTTCCATTTCCCCTGTAGCTTCTCTTCAATATACCATAGCCGCCTTGCCACCTATATTAAATATTCTTGTAGCCCAGACTGGAACCTTGTAATGCTTTTAGGTATAATGTACTCTTTTTTTTTTTCATTTGGAACGCTAGCTCATAATGACATTGTAAAGTAGAGATCCCGAGTAACCCTTATTATCATGGTGTCTCCTTGAGCAGAACCTCTGAGAAATGTGAAGGGGAGACCTTTTGGAATGAACAAATCCTTTAGCTGCCTATAATTATTTATTAAAATAGACTAGCAAGATAAAGAATAAGGAGGGGAAGTGAGAGTGAGAAATAACATTCCATATATATACACACACACACACACACACACACACATACACACACACAGATGCACACATCTCCAGTTGCTAAATGAAATTATTGTGATATTCATTCCTATAGAGTGTGTGTGTGTGTGTGCGTGTGCGCATGTATGTGTGATGTATATAAAATTTTGAACTCCCAGAAAGAAAAGGATAGATACCATGAGAACATAAGGATATATTAGGTACAAACATTCGGAAAATGCTATATTTCTTTGAAGAACATCTCAGTCATTTTATTTAACAGTTGACAACTGTTAGTGAAAATACTCATTACTAAGGTAGGTTGAACAAACACATTTACATATTTGTGCAAAAAATTAAAAATATGGAAGAAAAGATAACTACTGTTGGGGAAAAAAATTCATGTTGAGTGCAAAAGTAGATAAATGGAAAAATGCCCTACTTTATGTTGTGGTGCAGCATGGTGAGGGAGATAGATGTAGTAATGTCATTTACTGAATTGTATTAATTGTTGCAGGCTTGTTTAAATTGATTACTCAACCAAAATAACCCATGTGTTGACATCATGCTTCTCTGGAGCGTGGGTGTAAGGTAATGAAATGTTCCTTCTACATCTTGAAATTTTATAAACTTAGCAGACTATTAAAAAAACTCTTTGGGGTCAACTTTCCACTTGTGCCTTTAGCTCTTGAACAAGCACTTTTATGGTTTCTTCTAATATATAGGCGTTATCTTCAGTTCTGTGAAGAGCTTTTAAATTTAATCCAGCACTGGAGTAGTAATTTGTTGCCACTGCTTTAAACTGGGCTTTTCTTTTAACTTGCTCAGGATGCAGGCACTTTGTTTGAGCTAAACTACAATACACAATGTCAATCTGTGTTCCTTGTGTCTCAATTTTAGGCCTCAGATGTCTTTTTAAAATATGAGGAATGAAGGTTGGTAGGAGTGTTAAGATCAGACTGACAAAATCAATATTGTCCCAAAGAGATACTCTAAATAGGTTGTAGCAGCCTAGGTTGTGGCAGCTTTATAACAGTAGTCAGTATAGTTAACTTTGCATCAACTTTGAAAAACCACTACGGTAAAATGACTGATATGATGTTAATAATCCCAGCATGATTTTAACTTTTTATAATTTGTAAATTTTTTTTTTTTGAAAAAGGGGAATCTAATAAAGGTTTATTTGCAATTACAGTGAGTTTTGTTGTTGTTGCAGTGTATGTTAACTGATAGTCATTTAGCATAGCTTTGTTCTCTGGCTTGCTGAAATTGGTATCTCTCCAGTACTAAAATATTTTTTGCTTGAGGAGACAGTACTATACACTATCAATACATTTGTTGGAAAAGAGAAAAAAAAAATCACAGTAGTGGAAAAGGATGTTTTAGATAGCCGTATTTGTTATTTAGGCCTAAATAAGTCCAAAACACAAGAACTTTATAAAGAGAAGAAGTCCTATTTTGGGATAATCCTGCCTTAAAGAAGCATTATTTTCTTTATCATAATAAAAAAGAAGCTTGATCTCATATGCATTATTAATAAATGTTTGATTGCCTATCCAAAAACATATTGGAAACATATTTTGGAATACTGTAAAAATGTTAAAATATACAACCCAAATATAAAATAACATCTCACAAATAAAGATATTGAAACCACAATAGTAAAAATAAAAGAATAACCCTGCCCTTTTGTTTTATCAGGAACATTTCTCAACTCAGCTGTTATTATTTCAAACTTTTTGGCAGCCTTTACCTTGATAAAAAATGCTGATATACTGACATGAGTTGCACTGTGTACTGTATATTTTTGTGTCTGGAGAAAAGAGAAGATTTTTATACATCTTTCATATTTGTTTTCATGGCAAAATAAACATCATTACATGCTGCTTTAATTTACAATACTAGTAAACATGTGCAGTTGGAATTTCTCTGGTTCCAGGGTTATTTCCCTCTAATTTATAGCAAAACTATTTTGTGACCAATTTTTGTAAACTTTAATCAGCTTTGCACTTGCTTTCCTCTGCTAACTACAATCTTAGAGAAGCAAATCATTACAGTACTAAATATATATTTATTTTAAAAAGCCCAGCAAATAACCCAACAACATTTGTTAAACCACAAATCAGCAAGCATTCAGTTATAAGTATAATAGCATATACTGAATTTTCATAGGAATGATTTAGTGAATATTAGAACACATTTTTTACTCTATTGTTTAGGCTCAAGAAGGCATAAAATCTTTAACATCTATTTATCATGTAGTTATTTTAATGTAAACATTTGTCTATTTAGATGAAGTGTTTTCATTATTAAGCTAATTTCAACATGTTTCAGATAGACTGATGAGTTAGAAGCAAAGCACTTGCTGATGAGAAACGAAATTCTGTCTCAGCTCAGCCTGCTGTCAGATACATCTTCATTAGTTTTTGTCATTCACCGATGGCAAATGCTGTATAAATGAGATGACGATCAGGTCCGCCTTGATAACTTGCCTTATCTCATTAGTTTTCACATCAAAGTTAATCAGCAATGTGAATTGTAATTGCTGGAAGAGACAATGCAATAGATCACTAGGCCTTTTTTTCTGTATGGCATCTTGAAACATCAGCAGGCTGGTGTGAGTAGATAGGCTCAGAAAGAAAATGATGTGGAAAGCATAATAAGCAAGCTGCTCAGAATTAATGAGCTTACCCAATAAGAAAAGAATAACCAATCAATGTGAGTTGGGCAAATATAATTTAGGAATAATTGCTTGATTGGTTGTCTATAGTAGACTGATTTGACCACACACAAGG